GGTCGCTATTTAAACCCAAGATAAGGATACGGATGGAACACTGATTATGCTACGCCTGTTTCTCGCTTGTGAAGAATTGCTGCGAGATGACAACATGCTCGTCCTACTTGCCGGAAGGTGCCGTTCGTAGTATACTGTAGCCATTCCGACTATGCCTCTTCTGGTCATGATTACAGGTGTTCCTGCCGTTGTCAAGCTGTTGTGCTGTGGCTTACTTACTTCATTGCCACTAGCTCGTTCATCGCATCTTTGGCCGCCTCGTTGCCTTCCTTCTTGACTTCCACATGTGCATCTTTCGAAGCCTCCTCCTTCACCTCATGCTTGATGTCCTTCAAGCGCTTTGCTAGCAAACGCTAAGCTACCATAAAGCTCGTGTTGCACAGGGGCTCAAACGTCCGCTGGGACAACCAATCATGGACGTCTCCGAAATGCTAAACTTGACCCTTTCAGAATTGAAACCCCTAAACCACGATATGACCTAGACTTATACACCCCTACACCCCACAACCCTGCACCCGAAGTCGGCCGTCAAACCTTGAACAATCAACCTTCAACCTGAACCCTATATGGGGTGAATTCGAGCGGCCAGGCAGAGGAACGACGAAGAGCCTGTCTAGTGGTCGAGCAGGCTTCCGTCACACAGCAACACATGCATGTCAGCAAGATTTCGAACAAGTCGTCCTTCTACTCCATGGGTTAAAAAGAGCGTGACAAAATACTTCACTGTCAGCAGGGGGGTGTTTTCTGACTTGTTAGCTCCGATCGGCTCTCTCATTTTGCATACTCCTTCCTTGTCATGGAGGCCGTCAGCTCTCGCCGAAGAATGCGCGCAAAGGCTGCCACGGGGAATGCTGCAGATCCGTAATAGAGGGGTAAGCTCACAAGCGACTGTCCTCGACCCACAAAGCATCCTGCAAAATCCTAATTTGTGTGTGCGTGTGTATATGCTGTCTGTCTGTCTGTCTGTCTATCTGTCTGTCTGGCTGTCTGAAATCTGTAGTATGTATTTATGTATGTATGTATGTATGTATGTATGTATGTATGTGGTCATGCAGACATATACAATCTCGTGCATATTTCATACAAATGCTCATGAGTATACATACACACACATATGTGTGTATGTATGTATATATATATATATAGATGTGTATAACTATTATAAGTGGCTGGGATTATCATGCCAGCTTCTGTTCAGGCGTCCGGGGTCTGGATCTTTTCTCTGAATTTCAGATACAGGATTCGGGTACCTTGTCCATGCTGAATCTAAGCGGCTACACCTGTTGAGTTTGATGCAAACTGGTTGACAACTGCTGAGTTTGTATGGCTTGCAACCTGGTTGACAGAACTGCGTCTGCAGTAGGGATGCACAGTGCACGGGACGGACGTCTTCAATGCATATGTTGTGCGGTGCAGGCGTTTTCTTATATTGCGAAGAGTCATGCATCCTTTTTCCGTTGGGATCACTCGTGCCCGGGCAAATCATTCAGGTGGTGAAAGCTTGTCGCTTTGAGATCGGGGTCGGGGGCCGTCGCGGAGAAGCGGAAAGCGCAGATGATGCATCATGTGGGGCTGTTGCTGCGTAAGCCTTCGTGCGCAAAGAGCTAATGAGTATCACTTTCATGATAGGGTTAATTAAGGGCTGTAGTTACGTTTATGCTTACATACCAGCCCTGGGTTCCTACCAGCAGATCTCCAAATCTCCATCTTGAGTTGCTACTCATCTTACTTGGAAGGTAAAGGCTGAGATCAAGCATGAAGTGAAGCAAGAGGACCCGCTTTTTCTGACTCATTCGCAGGGCTTCAGTCGGCTCAGTATTTCGGGTTGTGCTTGCAGGTGCCCAAGTCTTCAGATGTAGTTTGCCTCTTGGACTGGTAAGGGTTTACGGTTTGGGGTTTCTGGGATTCGCGCTGTTGCTGGGCATCGTTAACCAAAAACTGCTGTTGATGCAGCTGCTGCTGCTTCTTTGGCTTCTATCGTATCTATCCTTACTGTAGCAATCATTTCTATTTGCCTCGTTTTCTATATCTTCTACACTGTTGCAACTGGAGTACGGCGACTCAGGTTAAATTAAAAGCACAAATGTTGTCCGGCCTTACTCTGTCGTGCGACTCTAGTTCGAACTAACTGCTTTAACGAAGCGATGAGACTGTGAGACTCTTGTTGGCTTATTGTGATACACTTTACCGCTATGGCACTCTCGTGAACAGTAGCTGGCCATGTGTTTTGGCGATGCTGCTTTGGGGGGCCTGGATTTTCGAATTCGGGTCCGGGGTGATCGCTATCGGAATTAGGAACTGCGACTTTTTGGTCCGGGTTTATGGATTAGAGCTAGTTCTTGTTGTGTCTTTTCGCTTAGGTGGCTAGGCGCCTTCAAGCTGGGTCTAGCCATGCAAGCGTCTGCAGGATCATATATACAAACAGGATCAAAGATGAACTCATGCAACACTCACATGCACCGTCATTGTTCTTTCTCCCCCGTCACGGAGGACCAGAAGTGGCCAAGCCAGTTGTAGCTTGGCGGCTTGCAGAAACCTTGGATCTCAAGCGAAGACACTTACACAACTTTCTAAACCCGTAAACCCTAATATTCCTATAGCCCTAAACCTTAAAAACCGTAAAACCACAACCCTAGCTGCTCAACTGCGCAGTAGGAGGCTTGGGTTTGGACCTTCATTTTTCGGTCTCGTCATTTTCATCTGCGCGCCAGGTGCTGCTGCCCTGTAGCTTTCTGGGTTCAACTTTGCTGCGTTTGGGCAAGGATGGACGTGCACCGACATCAGTTTCTCCTGCCCGATGTTAATTAAGCCTCAAAAACGACCTTGTTCGTTTCCATGGCGACGGCATCGTGCCTCGATGCTTGCGCCTTATAAGATGTCGCTCGAGTCAGCCGTGGTATAGTCGGTTCTACGTAGCCTGTTGATGCAATTTTCGAGGTTTTGTCTAAGAACTGTGCTGTAGAGAATGTAGAGAACTCGGGATTGGGCTGCTGTTTCTTCTACTGCCATGTGCTTGTGGACTTCTAGCTGAGGCCTGGCATGAAGCAGGAGAACATGGATGATCATCAGCAAGTACAAGTTAAGCAAGAGAAATTCGAGCAGCCTGGGCCGAAGAGGCGTCGATTGAGCCAGAAGAGTCCGGACATCTCAGCTCCATC